AAGTAGTTAGTGATAAATACAGATGTATATTTACTGCATATTTGGAGTGCATTTGTAGTGTAAAGGCTATATCTCATTGAAATGATCATTGAAAAAAAATGATCAGACTCTGCGGTAGACCGTATGAACAACTAAGCTTGCAAATTGTCAATGATAGTCCAAAAATATCTACATTTGCTCAAAGCAAAGCAATAATATAATATGGTCAATGTTTTTAGAAAAGGGATTAATTGATTTAATAAGCCTTTGTCATATTATAGGATGTTGACTTTTGTTCATTTTACACTTCACTGATTTTTTCTCTCTATTAAATACAAAGACTACATACGTACAGTTAACTATTTTAAGAAAAACACTTTTTGACACTTAAATAGCTTCACTATTTTCTTGTCCTCTGTCATTATATTTAGCGTTTTAACATAAACTGATACAAAAGCTTGTGCTTTCTGTTTTTTGTGCAATGATAAACTACATTTGAAGTAATTTATTCCCAAATCAGCATCATTTTGTTGGGTGCACAATCAAGTACCCACCCTTGAGAAGCAGTGGGGGTGGTTGAGTAATCGCTGTTGTAAAGTCAGTTATGTCCATCTAAAAAAATGAAAAACACTACATGCAAAAACTGAATGGATCTTGCATCTTTAAATTCATCCCTTTTAAATTACCATTGCTGCAGTCTTGCACATGCAGATGTGATGTTTTTGGCTGTTGCACTGCACACTGTTTTTGTATAAATATTTGGAACCAAGTATGTAGACTTTTTGTGCTTTTATGTATTTTTTTGCACCTTATAGACTTGCAGTAACCCACTGATGTAGTGAGTGATTTAAGTCGTTTCAAAATTAGAGACTCTTCAGTCACAAGTGGTCACAAGAGACACATTTGAGGTACATGTTACTGCAAGGTGTAAACAGCAATGTGTCCACTTGTGACCACTTGTGATCTCATCACAGAATCACAGAGACAGATCTTAAAACCAGGTGTAAACGGGGCCCTTGATGCTCATTGTTCAGTCTGACTCTCTTGAGCAGTTGGTTGCAAATTAATTTTCACTTAAGTGTAATCTAAGGACCAATGAAAATATTTGTAAAATATTCCTTTTTCAGTTGGCCAGGTGTCATGTATAGACACATAAATGTCATTGTTCAGGTTACTGCTCTGATTAATGCTTGTCTAAAAAAGACAAGACATCAGTTTTTAACACTGTAAATCGGATGCAGGTGACATCAAGTAGTTATTTGAATTGTTTGGATGCATATGTGTTTTGTGTGTGTGTGTCTGTCTGTCCCTGATTCTTCCTGTGATCAAGCTCGCAGGAATGTTTTTTGGGCTGTCACCCAAAATGCTTTGCGTCATGTCTCTCTGACATGTGGCGCAGATGTCTTTAGTTACGCGTGTCACTGATAAACAGAAACACCGCACTCATCCTTCAGCTCCCATGATACTCATTCATCAGACTCAGCTGCATGTTTCTGTGTCTTTAATGAGGAAGGGATTATCTGTATTAAACGGACATCACAGTAATGAAGCATCAACATATGGTCAGACTTTCTAAACCCATAGTGTGTGTTGATCGGTGCCTCCCTACAGGATTCTCCACAGCATCTGCCGTCTCTGTACATAAAAACAGTTTGTCAGTCAAGCTGAAGGGATTGACGACAATAGAAGATGATCCGTGGCCATACTTGATTCAAGTACAGTCTTCAGCTCTGTTCCAAAGCCCAATGAGCTGTTTTGCTATCATAGACAGTTGAGAGTAATAAAGCTTGACATTAGTGTGTTGTTAAAGGGGTCATATGATGCTGCCAAAAAGAACATTATTTTGTGTATTTGGTGTAATGAAATGTGTTTATGTGGTTTAAGGTTAAAAAAACACATTATTTTACATGTACTGTACGTTATTGTTTCTTCTCTATGCCCCGCCTTTCTGAAACGCGATTTGTACAAAGCTCATCGGTCTGAAAAGCGAGGTGTGCTCTGATTGGCCAGCTATCCAGAGCATTGTGATTGGCCGAATACCTCAAGTGTGTGACGGAAATGTTACGCCCCTTACCATACTGCGATGCCCTGTCCGGCCGGAGCGACGAGACAAAAACATGAAAACCCATTATAAACGAGGCATTTGTTGCATCCAGTGGGGACATAATTATGGATTATAATACTTACAGTCTGTGAGTCAGAACAGCCGGCATTGTAGTCTACTCTACCAGGATCAGGAAACTGTCCTCCATAAAATGCGCTGCACACATCTGAATATTTGGGTTGAAGTGTTCTGGAACAGTGTCGTAAATACAACTTAACCACTGATTTCTAGTCGTGTCCATTTTTGGAAGACCAAACAAAGTAGTTTCGCTTTCACAACGAAACACACAGCGTCACACACCGCGGCCTTGAGTGAGCGGAGGCCGGCTTGAGAATGGTGCGGCCGGCGGATTTGATGAAGGAGCGTCCGGTGGGCTTGCGGCAACCACATGTGACGACCCCGGGCTGGACTCCGCTTCGTCCACGGTGAAAGCCGATCCGGCAGATCCACAGCGCAAAGTTGATGTATTTCCTCAGCGACCAGCACGGATCAGCTCCAAGCATGACGAAGCGGATATCGTCCTCTTTTGGAAGGCCAAACAAAGTAGTTTCGCTTTCACAACAAAGCACACAGCGTCTTCACGACATGGCAGCGGCGGCAACAACAATACTACAGCGAGAATAAAAGTCCCGCCTTTTTTCTTTGCGTGAACATTTGGGCGGCGTTATGCAAATCTTCCCACATCGTGATGTAGACATGTGGGGGCGTGTTAGAACGAGTCGTTTTAGGTAGGCGTGGTTAACTCTTAACTTTTATAAAGAATATCTCTTTGGATTTGATACTTTAGTCACGCAGAGACACAAATATGTATGTGTGTGTATATTACCACATATATTATATAAAATAAAACATAAGTATATTTATAATCAACATTTCTCTTGCTTTATCCACCATTTTGGATTGATCATAATTATGCTGCCTACCTTTGTCACCTCTTATAATGGCTGAAAATGCTGTTTAGGCAAGTCACCGGGATTTAGAACAGAGATTTTATCTGAGAAATTAGATTCTGAAGTGGTTAACTGAATGTATCACTTTTGATTCACTTTTTTATTACTTTTGATGAGATTTGCAATGCAAAATAATGCTTCAAAGAGTCTCTATGTACTTGCTGAGACAAGTTTACTTAAATTTAATGCACAGTTAGTTACAGTAGTGCTGTCCTCCAACTCTTAAATCATTGAAAGGAAATTGGATGTTTCCAGGATAACCTGGAGAGTCTCATTTGGAACTGTAGTGTGACCTTCAGGATAATCTCCCGTTTTAATACACAGTTTTATCTGTGGATATCACTGCACCCAGATTAAATCACACCTGCCGCCGCGCTACTGTAACCTTGGAGATTATCATTTCATATTTGCCAAAACATTTTTATTCCTCTCCAGATGACACATTCTGCCGAGGTCTCTTTGTTCCCATTTGAGCAGATGTAAAGCTGTTACAGTTAACAATCCACATGTCACTGTGATGGTCACATGTTAGTCAAAACCCATCCGATTTCCCTCCTACAGTTCATAATCGATTCTTAAGTACAGCCTCAGCTCTGTGTTTATCGATCATCACAGCTGAAGTTATTGACTGGTGCTAAGTTAAGATGTGCAGTCAAAGACTCATTGATGTTAAGCGAATACATGATTGCTGAGGCATTACAGGGCTTCAGTTCCAGACTTCCCAAATCAATGTACAAATTCAACACAAAGCCTTTTCCTTTGTGGTCACATCTAAGCACTTTGCCTTTTTCCTCTTTTCATCAGCTTTTAAGTATAAAATTATTTAGCAGATTTGCGTGTTTTAACGTTGGTGGATAAATGGGGTTGCAATCTAATGTAATGTGGAAGAAACCATTTGAGACCACACAGTGATTTAGTATTAAAAGTCAACTTTGCAATTGCATCTTTAAAAATAAAATATGAATATGCTTTTCTTGAAATTTCCTGTATAATTATAACAACTGCAGAATTTCTAGCTACTGTTGCAAATTTTCTTTGTAAGCATTTGATGAAATAAGATTACATTTAAATGTGACAACATTTACGATAAATCATATTTTTAAAATATTATTTAAAATGTAAAAAATATTTAAAAATAAATATTAAGTAATCTAACTATAGAAATTATACATTTAAATTCGTAAAAACCTTATTTTATAAGGTTCATTTTGTTTTATACTGTAGCAGAGAGTCCCACAAATAAGTAGAGTGGAGTTAGATCAGTGCTAATATTAGTTCTGTATGAAGGGTGTGATCCACGGGCATCCACACGTGCGCATCCACTCACAAACAATGCATGAGAAACAATAGTGGTGGCCTAAAGGTGCAGTTCACCATTTCGTGTACATACGCATATACACACACACACACACACACACACACGTGGGAAGAGTGTATTCCAGTATGGAACAATCAAGATAGCTTAAACCATAATCCTCATTGTTTATCGTTTGTTATCAAGGTTGAGGAGTGAATTCCCTGCCAAAACTACTCACACACACAAATGGCGTAGTTCCCAGTATTATCTCCTTTTTCATGGCCATCTCTATGACCTCCTGGGCGACAGGCTAATGATGTATGATGTCATGACGGTAGCTTAACGTTAGGAATGTTGGGACATGCTCAATATGGACATAATGTGAACAGAGTTGGTAAGATCGCAACAGGAAGTATGTACATGTTCCCTGACATCCGCTTGTTCATTTTTAATCAGTGTCTGAGGGTGAAAGAGCAAAGGACAAGTTGCCAACCCAAGATGTTTCCTCTCATGTTAACTTGTCAATCGATTGCATATGCAGCAAACCTTAAATTAGCATCAGTCAATAGCTCAGGCCACGCTGGTCTATCGTAGAACATCAATATATGGTGCTGCCAAAGAGCCTGTGTTTGTCTCCTCTAATAATATCCTTGTCTCTTTCTTTTTCCAGCTGTATTTTGGGGAGATATTGCCTTGGATGAAGAGGACTTGAAAATGTTTCAGATCGATGGAACAATAGAGCTTTCACAGCAGTCCCATGGGAGACAAGGACACATGTCGGGTAAGACACGGTGACCGTACAACATGTTCCTGGATCAACATCCTTGTTGATCCTGGAACAACATTCCAATTAACCAATCAGAATTGAGGGATAACTTTTCAGGAAATATCTGTTTTAGGCTTACGATCAGGGTTAGGTGCTTCTACACTCTTGTTAATCAGCTATCATATTACACTGATTTTAGGAATAAATTATGGGTAGGGATTGGGTTTAGACTATATTTTTGGACAGTAATGTTGATCCAGGATAAACAAAAGATGTTGATCCAGGAACATGTCTTACTTGGCAAAATCACGGCGATCGGTAAGACACATGGGATATCACAGGGCTCCACACTGCAGTTGTCGACAATAGTTTAGAATTGGCCGATTTGTGAACTAATGGCTGTTACGAACTGGTTCTTTTTAAGATTTGTTAAAACGCCTCAAATTCATGATTTAGCAGTTTGAATCAGACTTAGTAAATCGTCTGTCTAAGACTTATGCATCTATATGCATTTTAAATATTCTCAACAGTTTTCAAAATATTATAGTTCGTTGCTTCTGAACAATCATCTTTATTATGTAATTTGCCATTTAAAAAAGTCATAAGGCTGCTAAAGGTTTAATGTTATTTCTAGTCATTTAGTCTAGTATTTTTTTGTCTAGAGCCCTACATATTATTAACTGACAAATCTGTCACATAATCTGGATTAAAAAAATGAAAGGTCCTCAATTTAGTTTGAGGTTCTAATGCACATGTTTTTTCAGCTGTGTTCAGTAGCAGATGTTCGGTAGATGAGGTTAAAGCTGCAGTCAGCAGCTGCTGAGGGTTGAGGGTTGTTTCTGGTGCAGAATAACAACAATGACTCTTTCTACAGTAAGGTTCAAGGTTTGAGCTTCTGTTCGACTCAGTCCTTGAAACCACCCATGTGCTTTTTTCATCCTGATGTCATGTTTGCAATCAGGCCTTCCTCCAGGCGTTAAATGCTCTGATCTAGCACTGGTCTCTGTGTAGTTTTGAGTGCAGGGTGACACACACACACACACATATATGGTAGCCTCTGTGGATTGTGTATTTAAGGTAATGTCTCAATCAGTCTGAGAAGCTGAGTTGTCATAAGCAATGTTCTCTTTAAGCTGCGTGCGTGCAGAAGAAATTATATGCAGCACACAGGACAGATGCAAAAATGTGTTGGAAAATCCATTTGAATTCTAGTGCAAACTCTACTACATAGGGATGTTTAGATAACTATATAAGAATTCACATGTTAACATTTTTTGAAAATATTTGTTTATTATATTATATATGTGACCCTGAACCACAAAACCAGTCATAAGGGTAAATTTCTCGAAATTGAGATTTATACATAATTTGAAAGCTGAATATATAAGCATTCCATTGATGTATGATTTGTTAGGATATGATAATATTTGGCCGAGATACAACTATTTGAATATCTGGAATCTGAGGGTGCAAAAAAATCTAAATATGGAGAAAATCGCCTTTAAAGTTGTCCAAATGAAGTTCTTAGCAATGCATATTACTAATCAAAAATTAAATTTTGATATATTTACGGTAGGATATTTACAAAATATCTTCATGGAACATGACCTTTATTAATATCCTAATGATTTTTGGCATAAAAGAAAAATCGATAATTTTGACCCATACAATGCTATTGCTAAACATATACCCCAGCGACTTAAGACTGGTTTTGTGGTCCAGGGTCACATATTACATTGTTATATTATATGCCTAACAAATAATTGACCTCAGAAAGGCTTCATTTTTTCATATTGTATTATATTATATTATTATAAAGAATTGAACTGATCTGCATGAGATTTTTAAAAAGATTTTTTAATAGAGTTTCTTGGTAAGTAACACAGCACTGTAAAAAAAAATTCTCAGGTAACCTAAAATGTTCATAATTTAGTTACATCAAGAGTCAAATCAAATATAAACAGCACATTAAAGGTAAAAGTTACACACTTTTTGTGTGTGTGTGAGCTGTACAGGTGTGGTATAAAGAATGTTTTTGCTCAGGTAGCTGAAATGTCCGTTCAATAGAGAAAAGTTTTGCTCAGCAAGAAAAACTATTTGAGGGAGCATTGGTTATAAGGATGGAATAGATGTCCATGATTGTGTTGTGGGCTGTGGGTGATTTAAACTTATTAAAGTCGAATTGAAGTTGAAGAATGTGTGGGGATATTGGGAGTGTATAGCTTCAGGTGATTAGACTTGATAAATGCTCCTGTCTCTACTCCACTGCACCATCAGCAAACAACCGTGAGTGTGTTTGCATAGCAAGGTCTTTGTCTTCTACTCCTTATGTAATGGGAAAAGTGCAGAAGCGTATGTGTGTGCAAATGTTTGTTTCTTTGTGAGATAGAATAAACATTGTTAACACAGTCCTTCCTTGCTGTTATCTAAACTGACCGAAGTCAAAATGTGTGTGTGTGTGTCTTTCCCAGTGGCACATTGCACATTGTTAAGGTAAACTCAGTGTCTAAAACAGGATACAATCACTGGAATGAGTGATGACTTCTCACAGACTAACAGCCAACTAAGAGAAATTTACCTTGCTGGGTAGCAACGTTGTCAGCAACATCACCTTTATCATCGTCTGGGTCAGGCAGCAAAAGATGGAAGTGAGGCCAAAAAGACGATAAGGATTCAGCTTTGCGTTTCCGTTTTGACTGGGGTTGTTACAGGATGTGCCACCGGGGCAGAAGGGTAAACTGCATCAGGACCAGAAATAGCAGGAGAACTGATGCATGTTCAAACCAGTCAGGACAGGTCTTTCTTGGCTATTTCCAGATTCATCAGGAGGCTGTCACGGAGACAACAGCACACGCTTGTATACCTGCTAGTGTTATGTTTGTGAGATAGAGCGTTTGTGCGCACATTAATCCCAAAGCTCAGACTTTTCCTGTGTCTTGGATTCAGAGAGTATTGTTTGTTCCTCACTTTCCTGTCCGCCTCAGAGAAATTCCAGAGCAAGAGCGAGAGGGGGTAAATGCAAAAGGAAGATAGCAGAGAAACTGAGATGCGTGAATAGAGATGTTGAGCGAGAACCCTGGGAGTGAAAGACAAGAGTTGGTGAGATGTTATATGAAGGAGAAGAGACTGGTCAATGGGAGGATGAGGAGAGGTGAGGATAGATGGATGACATAGGTGTGAGAATGGCATGAAAGTTTCTTGACTCACTGGCAGTGTTCTTGTAACATTATAACGGCACCAGTGCAGTTTTAAACTTGATTCCATGAAAGTTTACTCAACACGTAACAAAAATACTCACACAGTGTTCTCACAAAATTATATCACTCTCACAACATTCTCAATATAACTCCCTTGCATGTTTCTTTCTCTCAGGTGGTCTAGGAGAGCATAATCCCAGTAAGAAGAGAGGTTCATTATATCTGTTGCTTGACAGAATACGACGGTTAGGTTTTGGTAAGTTTAAAACAATGTATTGTTTCTGAACTCTTTTTAAATTTACCCCACAGCTCTGTTAGTAAGCCTCGAGCACCTCTTTATCAACATTTAAAAATAGCATTATTCACCCTATCTATTTTATCAGTTCATCTTGTTGATCTTATTGTGAATGATTCATCCATGCATAATGTTTCTATTTTATATATTTTTGACATATCTCAATCTTTCGGTGAAACAACACTTTCCTTTTGTGACGAATGCAGGACTTCTCCAAAAACTTCAAACCCCATCCCTTTTTTAAATTCGAACTACAATACAAATTCAGTATAAATATATAGTTCAGTCATGAAACTCTAGATTGCGCAGGCTGACGGGGTGTTAACGTAATTGATGACATTCAGAGAGTTAAACGACTTGGCACAAGCTGATTGGTTCATGCTGCATATGCAGCCAATGAGCTTACTGCCTTGCATTAAAATGGCTGGCTAGCATTCACTTGAGTTTCCTGCAGCGCACTTTCAGAGTTCTCTGAAACCCTCCACCTTCCCCAGCTCCACCTGTATAGATCTGCTACGGGGTTATTTTATATGCTATTTGTGCAGCAGCTGTATGTCTTAAATACTCACAGCACTGCATCGGTGTATGTACTGGCAGTAGCAAGTTCCTGTACTTGCTTGCAGCAGCAGCAATAATCTACAACTACAGCAATAACCAACAGCAGCAGCAATTCAGCGGCAGCATAGCAGATCTGTTCCGCCAAGACCAAATACATTAACATTGTCATATCCATCACCATGCTAAAATGTTCTGAGAGTTGTCATGATTGAAATACAGTTTCTAACAGTTCTGAGAGCAATTATTTATAATATTTCTCCAAGAAAAGGTCTAGCAGCAAATTTATTTAAATGTGAACAAATGTAACAAATGTAAAATGATTTGCAGCTTTTGTATGGCTGATATCAATTATCATGAAAGCTCAATAACTATGAAATGCCTCCCACAAGAAACACTATAATTTGTACAAATGTAAGATTTATTCCCCTAAATTTGGGGTAATTTGGGGTAATTTTTATTTAATGAATGCAGATTTATATTTAGTGTTCGTGTCCATGCGTTTTAATGCAGTTTGAAGAAGATATATAACCAGTGTTTGCAAAAACTGAACAACAAAATAACTGAAAAAATCATGCCATTATTCACAATTGGTCATTTTAATCTATTAACAGGCCTATTAGTGCAGCTTTATTGCACTGGAATCATATCAATAGTGCTGTCATGTGTTGGCAGGATGGATTTCATTGTGTATGTGTATGTTTAACCTTCAGAGAACAAACTCTCAAGAAACACTACCTGATTTTGACATGTTTCAGCAGTTAAATATATTTAATCCCAACTCTCATTACTTGGGGTGGTTTGGCATTCGATTTCATGTTCCTGTAAGATGTTTTCTACCATTCTATCATCTCTCTCTATGGTGTAGAGTCGTGGCCAGTCAACAGCCGTAAAGATGTGTCGAGCTCCAAGGCTGGTGGGAGGAGTGTAAATAGCGACAGAGGTGTGAAGTCTCGAGTGCCTCGTGCTGCCACATCCCGAGCTGAGAAGATCTGGCCCGGAGGAGTCATCCCTTACGTCATAGGAGGCAACTTCACTGGTAAAGAGACCTGAGTGTGTGTGTGTGTTTAACATCAACATATGAATGTGTGTGATTTACATATAATGGTTTCTGTGTGTGTTTTTCAGGAAGTCAGAGGGCCATGTTAAAACAAGCAATGAGACACTGGGAGAAACAGACGTGTGTGACCTTCATTGAGAAAACTGATGAGGAGAGCTACATCGTCTTCACCTACAGACCCTGCGGGTTCGTGTTCATTTTCAAAATGCATATTGTAGATCTTATTGTGAACAATTATTCTGGTCATGTTTCATTTTATAAAGAATGTTTCACCTTTTGCCAGACTCCCCCCAATCATTTAGTCATCTTAATCCCTGTCCCTGCAAGTTTGTGTTCATGTGCCTCCACATTTGAGTGCAATACCCACATCTCAAAATCCAGTCTAAAATCATGCATAGACCCAAGTCCCCAGCCTACATTTTCTCTTTTATGATAATCCAATAATCTGTTACTCTCATCACAATACCCTGTTGGTTCTTCTAGTGTTTTCAGTTTTGTTGATTGTAATGGAAGTGACACATTTTGTGAACTAGTTTTATGTCATCACTAATTTGTTCTTGTTCTCTGAAAACCATAATTTTTAAGTTCCTGGGACGAGACCAGCAAGTTTTAGAGATGGAGTAAAGAGACCAAAACAGGTTTTTGGTTGCCCCAAAAAAAATGTCTGCGCTGAAAAGGTATGAAAAACTACCAGTTCCACTTTGCTGGGATACAAAACGCTTGCTTGGTTTGGGCAAAATCAAAGATTTGATTCTTTGGGCCCTATTTTAACGATCTAAGCACATGGTCTAAAGCGCACAGCACAGGTGCACTCAGGGCGTGTTCGACTCCACTTTTGCTAGTTTAATGACGGGAAAAGGGTCGGCCTTTTTGGGTGTAACGTGCAATAAACCAATCAGAGTCTCATCTCCCATCCCCTTTAAAAGCCAGTTGTGCTCGCGCCATGGCGGGTTCGCTATTTACATGGCAGAATGTAATTTTTAAAAATGTTTGTGTGCTGCTGCGCGTCCCTGTGTGTGTGTAATAAGCAAAGTGTATGCGCGTTGTGCACCCGTCTATAGGCGCATATTACTAACGCGCTCTTTAAATAACAAAGAAAAATATTGCGCCAGACTTTAGACCAGGTTTGAGTTGGTCTATGGCGCAGTCTATTTTCAGTTCCTCAAAATAGCAACGCGCCAACAATGTGCCTGAACACACCTCTTTTTTAGACCAGCACACCCATGGGCGCACACATGGGCGTAAATGCATTTGCTATTTAAACAACGCGTCGCAGGACGGGGAAATGAGAACTGCGTCGGGCTGAAACTAGCAAAAACACTTGAGCCACATTGCGCCGGGTGTATGATAGGGCCCTTTATTTCTGAGCTCCATTAGTAGGTTACTGGATGTAAAAAATGTTGAATGAAGCACGGTGGTCATTAAGGAACTCAATCAGATACTCAGCTCTCATTGTTATGAGTGTATCCTATGTTTAAAACAAAGGTATGTGTGTTTGAGAGAGCGAGGGAGTGAGAGTCGGCTGAGATGACTACGGTCGGCCTGGCTTTCCTTCCTTCCCTGTTACCACACTGAGCAAACCACCCATTGTTCTTGGGAATGGAATCCTAACAGTGTGTTAACAAGGAAGAGAGAGAGAGGGAGAAGGGAAGACGGAAATCGCATAAGTCTAGATAAACATTGTTGCCGATTGTTCGTATCTGAAAACTTTGCTTTTAATTGATTATTTGATCACACAGAACAGTGTTTATTATTACACAACACCTGATAAGAAGGTGTTTAACCACTAATAGAAGTGTTATCAGTCTATGAATGTTATGGAAACTGGAATGAAATGGAAACTGAGGATGTTGAATATTTGTGTTGGAATGAAGCTTATGGAAGGTGAGGTGAAATAATGAAGCAAATCAGAGAAATAGGCAGAATGACCATTGACAGAAGGACAAGGCTAGATTAGCGTGGAGGGGAGAGAGGTAGCGAGAGCATTGCATAATACTATCCATCTCAGTGCGGTCATATCTGTTATAATCTGCAGATGTCATTTAGCTATAAACCTGCTGACAGACCAACACAAGCACTGAGCGTTAACCTTCTACATGACTGTATGTGCTTTTTAAAAATTTGGCACGTAGCTTGGGCCCATGTGTGCATGGATGTTGAGAAAGTGTTGACAGGCTTGATGTCAGACTCCTTTGCTCAAATCTGCATTAAATATAAAGATATTTGATGGTTGCATATCTATCACTAGTTAAAAATTTCAGTTCAACTGAATTTATTTGTATAGCACTTTTTGTTTCATAATATAAATGGTTCCAAAGCAGCATTAACATTTTTGTTTCGGTTAAACATTCTTCTGTCTTTTTTATTAGACTGGTGAATGTGTTTTATTTTCAGTCTGTTTCCTTTTATTTGTTTGAATCTCTCTCTCTCTCTCTCTCTCTCTCTCTCTGTGTCTACTCCACACTATCAATGGCTATGAAATGAGGGATTAAGGTGTTCTAATCCAAGTTATAAATAGTGAGCGAGTGGAATTGAGATTACTGCTTTGTTTGTGGGCGTGTTTGCGTGTCTGAGGCATGCTTAATGGTAGACTATTGAGATTCCGTCTCGATTCCTTGAACTCTGACTTCACAGCTTTGACCTGTCTTTGTCCCTGTTTTCACCTTGTATTAAGATTGTGTTCAGATTTCACCAAGGATCTCCTCTCCCTTTAGTGCTGACCACTTGTAATAGTAGGAATCACAAAAATGCATCTTAATAAGAATTAATTTCTGATTAGACAGCTCATTCCATACAGCATAAATGCCGACTTGCTACTGTTATTCAGAAAAGCAATTGAAAGAATCAAAATGAACAGCACATCAAATACAGTAACTGGTTGGCATATGAAAACAGTTGAGCAGAACACAAACTTTAGAGTCAGCAGGGTTGTGAGGCTGCTGGCAACATTTCTGTTAATAATAATCAGATTTGCAGGCTTATACAAACACCAGCAAGGGAAACAATTCACCTTAATGTGCCAAATATTCTCACCTGCTTAATGCACCGCACGCACACACACACACACACACACACACACAATACAGTGCAACTTGAATAGTGCTTTGTCGACACAATCATATATCCATATATTGTAATTATTTTGCTCCCAATATTGCATCAATACTTTAGACAAGTGGTTCTTAACTAGTGAGTCACACAACCTACAAATGGGTTGTAGGTCTGTTCTGAGGGTCACGGACAGGAGGGGAAAAATGAACAGTTTTGGTACAGTAGATGCCCAATTTAAAATCTGGGATCTGAAGCAAAACCACTGCTTTAGACTGTCTTTTGGCACTTATTTTGGTACCCACCTGTTTCTTTCTCTTACCTCTCTTGCGATTCATTGCATTGGCACACAGTCAGAGGTGAACAATGTGTGCTTATTTGTCGTTAAGGAAACAACGCGGCAAGAATCTGAAAGCTAACCCCAACTCACCCTAATCACCATTAATCAGCTCTCATCATTTCACACCATCCCCTGTTCACCCCACACTAAACTACATTACCCCAAACAACTAAGCATTAGCCCAGCTCACCTCCCATAACCCCCTCATTACAATCATTGTAGCACTTTATGACGCTCTTGTGACATAACCAGAATCTAAGTTATTCAAGAGTGGGGTGAGCCAACAAGATGCTTACATTTAATTGAGATTTTCAGATTTTTTACTTTTAATTTTTTTGGTTCTCAAGGTGTTGCTCTTATGTTGGTCGTCGTGGCAATGGTCCCCAGGCAATATCCATTGGAAAGAACTGTGACAAGTTTGGCATTGTTGTTCACGAACTTGGACACGTAATTGGCTTTTGGCACGAGCACACACGACCTGACCGTGACGATCATGTGACCATCATTCGAGACAACATCCAACCAGGTACTGTATGACCCATCACTCAAGTCTTTGTATCCTACCAGGTAACTGCTAGTTCAGGATGAGTGCATTCACACAGCTGTGTAATATGGATTCACTCTTGGTTCATAAACATAATATTTGAGCAATGATAACCACATTTTATAAGCAAATTTACTTTCCTAAATTTACATGACTCAACAAAAGACCAAAATGATAAAGTTAGAGATATTTTTTATTATTTTCTCATCATTTTCTGCGTCCATTAAAAATAAAATAAACTACACAACAATTTTTTTCTCAAAAGCAAGCACAAACGTTTCCTTTAAGATTTCGATTTGATGAATGAGTTTGAGCTTTGTACCAGTGTTTAACTAACAGTGTGTCAGTTGTGTCAAGAATTTTCTGTGATATTGACATCACCACCTTTGCTATTTAATTTAGTCATGTTACAGGCATTATTCATGGCTGTTACAAGAATAGAAAAAATTTGACTTCAGTTATTTGTTCATATAGACAGAATTTGAGCTGCTGTTGTATGAACAGGAAAATTCGAGAGTCACACCAATCAATCAATTCTAAATACTTGCTTTGTGAATGTAGCCTATCGGTTTTAATATGAGTGTATGTGTGCGCACTCAGGTCAGGAGTATAACTTCATTAAGATGGAACCAGGGGATGTCAACTCTCTTGGTGAGCCCTATGATTTTGACAGCATCATGCATTATGCCAGAAACACTTTCTCCAGGTAAGACTTCTGTCACACAAGAAATTTCACACCTGTTAATTTAATTCAGAATTTCTATACAAATACAAATGTTCTCCTCTTTGTCTTTCTCTTCCGCAGAGGAATGTTTTTGGACACGATTCTTCCCTCTCGTGATGAGAATGGTGTCAGGCCTGCGATCGGTCAGAGAACTAGACTCAGCAAAGGAGATATATCCCAAGCCAAGAAGCTATACAGATGCCCAGGTAGGCCTACAGTGTGTGTGTGAGTGTGTATGAGAGAGAGAGTGAAAATTTAAATGAAGGAACACCAAGGGTGTTAACTTCAGGAAGATGACCTCACTTTATGTGGAGATGATCGTCTCTAGCTAATATGATGTGTTAGCTTGCATGAGATCATTTGTTTTTGTCAGTTTTATGATGCACTTCTTGCAGTGGCCCAATGGGTAGCACTTTCGACTTACAGCAAGAAGTTCCCTGGTTTAAGTCCCAGCTGAGCCAGATGGCCTTCTTGTGTGTAGTTTGCATGGTCTTTCCATGATGTCGTGGGTTCCCCTCGATGCTCCGGTTTCTCCCACAATCCAAAGACATGTGGAGTAGGTGAATTGGAGACACTAAATTGCAAACCTACATAGGACAAGTGGGTTGTGGATGGGTAGATGGATGTGCTTTTCTCTCAGGAAAGAAAAGAGGGCCACCCTGACATTTGAAGGACAAAGAGTATGATAAGACCCTCTCGCTCTACTGCCTACATGTGTGTGTGTCCATGTGAGTGGCACATGAGTGTGTTATTTTACTGCTGTATTGTTTTGAGTTCATGCACTACTAGTGAGGGTGTGTGTGTAAATGCTTGACGCATGGCCTACTTCACATTCAAAGACGAAGCTCTCTTTCTTCCACCATATTCACTGTCTGTGACAAAATTTGTGAACTGAATGGCCACTTTTATTTGGCAATTTGCCAAAAATGAGTAGTTTACCTAGCCATTCTAGACTCTTTTTGTAATGAAACACAACATGAAAAGTTAAATAGAATGACCGAACTGTTCCCTTCAAAGTAGGTGGAGAGAAAATGATCCAAAAAGGATAATTTTTATAAAAGTAGCCCAACTAAAGCTTTTGTCTTTTTTTTGGTTCTTGACTGTATAAATCACCACTTACTTTCTTTGTATGGAAAAGAGCAGCTTGGACATTCTGCCTAACATCTGCTTTTTTTTGTTTTTGGTAAAAAAAAGAAAAATAAATGGACATGGGTGACATGGTAAATGATGTAAATAATTATAAAGTAAATTATATAATTTTTATTGTAAGTTTTGGAAACTACTGTTGAAAGTTCCTGTCTCTGCTGTTACATACAGGTTATGAGTCCAACTTTAGACTGAAATAGAGGTGACTGTCTCCACCCAAGCCAAAGATAACAGCTTATCTACCGTGTGACTGTGCACTGGATTGTTGTGTGACTTGTGACTATGTCTTTATATTTCCTTGAAATTGACACCCAAAAGCACCTCCGTACGCAATCAATGTCCAGTGAGCTGTGATGATAAACAGAGGCTTCTCAGGCAAATGTTTGGCCAACCGCTACATTGCTAATTGGGAGGAACTTTTGGCAAATGTTAGCAGATGATTTGGCTTCTCTTGAACAGAGAGTCTGCTCCCCTATCCTGTACTGTTTGGCCCCTGAGATCTCATTAGAACAGTCAATAGGTCTTTGTTACTTCATTGTTTGTGTGTATCTGTTTCCTGCACTGCTATTTAGCGGTGGCACTCTGCCGCTGCTGAATATACCATGCTATGATACAAGAATTTGTAATTGTGAACATCTTTCTATTGTGCTGTCTTCCCGGTTGCATGAAAAAACAAACACAGCATGTCCAGTGTAGTCCGATTCATGAGTGAATGACTCTGTTGAGTTGGTTCTTTTAATGAATTGGTCAAAGTAAACAGTTTGAATCAGTCTAAAGAAACATTCACTGAGTCTTTCAAAGAGGTTACTAAATTAGCATCTAATTAAAGTTACACATTCAAGTTTTTTTGTAATAAATGTAATTTTTTACATACGCTCATTAATCATGTTATTGTATTGGTCTCTTCCCAGCATGTGGCGAAACACTACAGGACTCAGTTGGTAATTTCTCATCTCTGGGATATCCTAATGGATACCCATCATATACACACTGTGTATGGAGGATCTCCGTCACACCTGGGGAGAAGGTAAGACACTTCTGTGTGTTAAAGGGGTCATATGATGCGATTTCATTCAGTGTTACAAGCTCTTGGTGCATAAAGAAGATCTGTAAAGTTGCAAAAACTAAAGTCTCAAATCCAAAGAGATATTCTTTATAAAAGTTAAGAAACGCCTACCTAAAACGGCTCGTTCTAACACGCCCCCACATGTCTATGTCATGATGTGGGAAGATTTGCATAATGCCGCCCAAATGTTCACGCAAAGAAGGAAGGCGTAACTTTTATTCTCGCTGTAGTATTGTTGCCGCCGCCATGTCGTGAAGACACTGTGTTTCGTTGTGAAAGCGAAACTACTTTGTTTGGTCTTCCAAAAGAGGACGATATCGCTTCGTCATGCCTGGAGCTGATCCATGCTGGTCGCTGAGGAAATACATCAACTTTGCGCTGTGGATCACCGAATCGGCTTTCACCGTGGACGAAGTGGAGTCCAGCCCGGGGTCGTCACATGTGGTTGCCGCAAGCCCGCCGGACGCTCCTTCGTTGAATCCGCCGGCCGCGCTGTTCTCAAGCCCACCGGCCTCCGTTCACTCACGCCTGCCATGTGTGACGCTGTGTTTCGTTGTGAAAGCGAAACTACTTTGTTTGGCCTTCCAAAAGAGAACATGACTAGAAATCAGTGGTTAAGTTGTATTTACAACACTGTTCCGGAACACTTCAACCCAAATATTCAGATGTGTGCAGCACATTTTATGGAGGACTGTTTCCTGATCCTGGTAGAGTAGACTACAATGCCGGCTGTTCTGACTCACAGACTGTAAGTACGTTTTGTATATTGAAAGAATTTGCCACTGACGATTCAAACGCGAGTTTTGGGCAGTGTAGAGTAGGGCTTGTTGTTTGTCATTTCTCCGATCACAAATGCAGACATGGTTTTATGTTTACGCGGCGTGATGCAACGCAACGCGTAAAAAGACAGTATAAGTCATTATAATAATATAATTATGTCCCCACTGGATGCAACGAATGCCTCGTTTATAATGGGTTTTCATGTTTTTGAATCATCGCTCCGGCCTGACAGGGCATCATCACAGTATGGTAAGGGGCGTAACATTTCTGTCACACGCTTGAGGTATTCGGCCAATCATGATGCACTGGATAGCTGGCCAATCACAGCACACCTCACTTTTCAGACCGATGAGCTTTGTAAAAATCGACGTGTTTCAAAAAGGCGGGGCATAGAGGAGAAACAATAATGTACAGTATGTGGAAATTAATGTGTTTTTTTAACCTTAAACTGCATAAACACATTTCATTACACCAAATACACAAAATTATGTTCTTTTTAGCATCATCATATGACCCCTTTAAGTGTCTAACTTTACAGAGGTTCATTGCACTGAATTGTTCCACATTTATCTGCATCTGCAATTTTCAATCTATTTCTTCCTGTAATTGTTTTCATTACGAGGTTGCAGATAAAGAAACGCTGATCTAATGCGTGAAGTTTGACGTATATGACAGCTGCATGTGTCCTGCCCATTTCAGATAGTGTTAAACTTCACCACTATGGACCTCTACAAGAGCAGCCTGTGCTGGTATGACTACATTGAGGTTCGTGACGGATACTGGAGGAAAGCGCCATTGCTGGGTACATACATGCTGGTGGATTCACCAGGAATATAATGGAGTATATTAAGCAATATGTATAAACAATGCAATGCATGCTTAATGAGGCACTGTTATTTATTGTGTGTGTGTGTGTGCAGGTCGTTTCTGTGGTGATAAAATTCCAGAAGTGTTGGTCTCTACAGACAGCCGGATGTGGATTGAGTTCCGCAGTAGCAGCAATTGGGTTGGAAAGGGATTCGCAGCAGTCTATGAAGGTGTGTGTGTGTGTGTGTGTTATGGCTGTCACAATATCAGATTTACACTACACGGTTATCATGCCCAGAAGATAACAACAGATAAAATAATTGTGATGTCCAAACAAATTTTGAAAAAAACAACAACAATGAATCACACTCAGAATACAAGTGTAGACAAGCAGAGAGAGAGTTTGTACCATAACACCTGGTCTTTTTTATGGAATCAAAAAAATCTTCCTTTTTTCTTTTCTGATTTATGATGGGTAGAAACCAGCATTAAGTAGTACAATATGGTTTTAACAAATAATAATTTTTAAATAAATAGTATGAAAATGGTATGAAGTATTTCTGACGACAAAGTAAAAGTCTAACTTTCTCTCTCTCTCTCTGGTAGCAATATGTGGAGGGGAGATCAGTAAGGACTCTGGACAGATTCAGTCTCCAAACTATCCAGATGACTACCGTCCATCTAAGGAATGTGTGTGGAGGATCACAGTGTCCGAGGGCTACAGTGTGGGCTTGAGCTTTCAGGTCTTTGAGGTGAGGTTGTTGTCTCCTCTCTTTTGGCTGTGCTCAATTTATGTATTTCCAGTCAAGTTCTGTTTTCACTTTAGCCTTCCTCTCTTGTTTTTCTCCTTTTCCCTTGTCTTTTCATTCTGAGAAGGACAGCAAAAAAGAGGATAGTTGTTGCTATTTACATGTGTGCTGTTTAAAGTTAGACTTTATGATATACATTTACAAATAGACACACATCTTTGTCAAGTTGAATTTCCTATAAGACTGCAGGTGTGTGAGGCCAAAAGACAGACATGTTTGATTATTTACCTTAAAATGTCAGAATGCTGTTACAAGTCATTCCGTAAGTATATATGCAGACCATTGTGTGTGTCAGTAGGTCAAAGGTGTCGAATTGTTCAGAGGGAATGGAACCACTCTCTGCCTTTGCATACACACATTCACACCTTCTTTTGCAGGACGTGTAGCAGAACTGAAAGCCTGGCATATACAGTAATATACACAGAGATGCCTGAGATCCTGTTTTTATTGGATTGTTTCCTAGGCATTGACACCTAAGGTGCCGTAGACATGCTAATGCCATTAACACATACTTTATTGTGCCTGTGTTTGTGCAGATCGAGAGGCATGACAGCTGTGCATATGACTATCTAGAAGTTAGAGATGGATTGTCTGAGAACAGCCCTCTGATCGGCCGATTCTGTGGCTATGATAAACCTGAAGATATCCGTTCCACCTCCAACACTCTCTGGATGAAATTCATCTCTGATGGGACGGTTAATAAAGCAGGCTTTGCTGCAAACTTCTTCAAAGGTTCACACACATAACTAAAACAGTGCTATCAGATGTTGATGAGTTGTCCATTCAACTGACGTTACTCTGTGTCTGTGTCATTAAAACAGAGGAAGACGAGTGTCTGAAGCCAGATAATGGGGGCTGTGAACAGAGATGTGTTAACACATTAGGAAGCTTCAAATGTGCCTGTGATCCTGGATACGAACTGGCCCCTGACAAGAAGAGCTGTGAAGGTAAGAGAGTGTGTTTGTGTGTGTGTGATCGTACTGCACACAGGTGCATCCGTCTGCCTGACTCAAACATGTTCAGCGGATGCTCAAGCCAAACTGAATGATTCAGGAAAACATCCGCAGTCAACAGGAAAACAACAAGAACAAACAGCACTTAGGCCACACTCACTCTGCTCAGAAACCACATGATTTCTGTCATTAATAAAGTACAATGTGTTGTGGTTATGCTAAAATAACACAAAAACCATCAAAGACCTGTGCTATAGTTTCCATTGAATTGAATGCTTATTAGTCAGTATACTGCCAGAGCACTGAAGACAGAACCTTTCACTGTTATGTTTTTAAAGCTTTGTTCTCACAAGGGTTATTATAGTTAACTAAAATGAAAACCATAAAAAAAACATTCATTCGAAGCAGTTCTAAGATTCAGTCTCTCTAAACCCCTCCTTTCGGTGAGCCTACTCTGCTCTGATTGGTCAGATGACCCAGTCTGTTGTGATTGGTCTACCATATACAGCGCATGTTGGAAACGATACGCCCATTGTCACAGTTCTGTATTTTGAACGCTCGATAGAAAATATAAACATCTATTATTTATCATACTCTCAGTTTGTGATTCAGTGGAGCCAGCTGGTCCAAATAAACAAAATGACAAATTTACTAAAGTGTTAACTAAAATTAAAATGAAAACAGAAAATAACAATAAATGTGAATTCAAATTTTGAATAAAAACTATAATAGCATGATTAGTGATACTAAAATAACATTGGTGCTCACTCTTTTTCTCTTTCAGCTGCTTGTGGTGGCTTGCTGACCAAGTTGAACGGCACAATTACTACCCCAGGTTGGCCTAAGGAATACCCTCCCAATAAGAACTGTGTGTGGCAAGTGGTGGCTCCCACTCAGTACCGCATATCCATGCAGTTTGAAACCTTTGAACTTGAGGGAAATGAGGTGAGACCCTCTAAATGTGTGTGTGCGTGGATGTGCCAGTGTAGGAGAGTGTGTTATCGTAGGTAGATAGACAAACACACTGACAGAAGGATGGATGTTTATCAGTGTATTATTTGTATATTTCATCTGCACAGGTTTGCAAGTATGACTATGTTGAGGTGCGGAGCGGCTTGTCATCTGACTCGAAGCTTCATGGGAAATACTGCGGTACGGAAGTCCCTGAGGTCATCACCTCCCAGTACAACAACATGCGAATTGAGTTCAAATCCGACAACACAGTCTCCAAGAAAGGCTTCAAAGCTCATTTCTTCTCTGGTAAGACCACCGTGCCAGAGCTTTTCATTTGAAATGGAGATTTGGAAGTCTTTGCTATGTTTTGACACCTCCACCCAAGCTCGCTTGTGTATATGAATTTCATAATGTACATTTCAAAAGCTTTCCAAACATTTTCTGGGGTAAAAGGCCCCCCTCTCTCTCTCAAACAACTATATCATGAGAAATTCTGTGGGTTTGGTTAGAAATGTTCCTTGTTGGAACAGGCTATCCAAAAGTATTAATCCAAACAGTGGAATCTGGACTTAAGCATAATTCTGTCAGGACCACTATCGTCAAAGATGATTGACAATTAGCATACAGTTTGGATTGGCGGTATGGCTCTGTTCTGTGCAAGAACTCCCTGCACATCCATGCAGCCTAGCATGGATGAGAGCAGGGAGAGCAGCGATAACCCCCCCCCCAGGGTAAACAGAACAGAACCAACATAAATGACCACATTTAGAATGTCTGATTCAAAGGAGAATCAGAAGGCTGAATCCTGACTGACAGAGGAGGAGCTGGGGATGGAGGAGGGTAATTAGCTATTGAGCAATGCAAAAAACTGCTGATAATACTGAGGGACCTTATATATGAATGCTTAGGTGTCGTATTCCTATAGGTAGATGGAGATCACCTGAGAGTCAGCTGATGCGAGCTTGACTAACGTGACCTGCCAGAACTAACTCTACGCTTGATTTATGATTGTAATCTTTTTGGATGCATGATTGTCACTTGTAAATGTGAAATGTAGATGTTTTGGAGTAAATAACATCTGGAAGTGTTTGTAAACACTTTATTTTAATGTGCGCTAAAATGAAAAGTGCACTGAAACTTTAAATGTGTGTGAGTCAGGACATTCTCTTCCACAGACAGGCCCGCTCACTGTAAAGTATGAATGTATACTCTTATATTTCTTTGATCGGCCAGCAGGTCATGTCAAGGCGTGTTTCAGCTACAGCCTTCTCTCCCTTGATTGATTTTTTTGGAATGGATTTGCTCTCACATCTGACGTGCCTTTAAGAATCCATTCATCTTCTCGGAAACTGGGCTCTGTCTCTATGGCAACAAATGTACCAAACTTTTGGGTCAGCAGCATTTGTTTTTACTCTATTCTAAGATTTTACTCTACTCTTAACATGATTCAGTGGTGTACTTGAAATAGAAATGTCTTTAACTAGAGTGTTAATAAAGAAAAAGTTACTTGAATCATGTTGTAGTTACATTTTCAAGTTGACTAGTTAAAAATCAAGAATCGGTCAAGCGTTCTGAAAAAAAAATCGAGATTTAATTTTTTTGCCATATCGCCCAGCCCTAATGTTAGTAAATCATAACAGTAAACCCGAATGCATAAGACAACATTTTTTTTTTGATTGGCTAGTTTTCATGTTAAAAAAAATCACGCAACTTATTGTGCTTATTATTTTAAACTGAAGCACAGGCAGGATCTGCTATTTTATGATTCATCTGTTTGTATTTAGATTTTCTGGGTATATTTGTACTGCATAAATGGAATGCACAAATGAACATTTAGCGCATACGCATGGTGAGCGAGTCCCGCTGTATCTGGGTGGGAGAGAGAATAAGCTCACCTCTCAATGAGTTATAATACTCATTGTCTGGAAGTCCCTGAGGTTGGATTTTTGCTGGCCCAGTGCCGGCAGGTCCCCAGAGCTCTCCCACACACTCCTAATCTGTATGAGTGTGTACTGAGCCGAATGAGCGCGCTGAACTGGAAACAGTGAAAGAGCTGATTCATTTCTTGTATACGCACAGTAAAGAAAGCAAGATTTTGATACGCTGGCTGGACCTTTAAAATGATTTTTAAGAAGCACAATTATTCCACTGTGGCATTTTATGATCAAGCATTAATTTCTCAGGAAAAAATAAGGATCTTTTGAACAGAAAGGGCACGTCATGCGCACAGTAACAGCAGGAAATCATTCAAGACATAATATGTGGTTTGAAAACAACATTAATTATGAAAAACGTGTGGTAACCCACAAAGTCTTGGGTCTCTTTAGTTGTCTCTCAATCTGTCATTCGTTGGGTTTGTATGATGAATATGCTGGTGGTTTTGCGCAGTGGTTGAAGTGTGATAATTAGCGAAACCTGAGACTTCAATGGAAATAACAGCTTCTAAAAGGCTTCTGACCCATGGGACACTGGGGGTGTAGAGATGAGCAAAAAACAACAACAACATAAGGAATCATTGGCTGTTTCTGAACATGCAACCATTAAGTGACATTTAGTTTACACGTATTAGACACACAGACTAAATATGATAGCACTTTTTCTTAATCACTTAACCCTTCCCCAACAACATACAGTATAATTCTCTCCTTCCTATCCTGTTTTTAAAGGGAAAAGGGGGTCTGTTGTTGTGCCCATTAATATCTCAGTTTATTTGCAAGAGTGTCGTTTTTGTGCCTAATTAACTACAGGAATTATGCGAATCAGATTATGGTCTATAATATATGCATACATCTTTAATATATGCATCTATAATGAGCCTAATTTACATAAAATGAAGGTGTTTGTGCTAGAAGAAATGACAGTGGCTTAATTTAAATTTGGTGTTGCTCTGTTTCAGTTTATTTAGCATGTGGTTAAATGGATTGTGGCTGGTTTTTGTGGTGAAATATCACAGAGAAAAGTGAATTTTTTCACTTTCACCTTTTAAATGAATTCACCTATGAATCTTTTGTCTTTTCTCACTGTTCTTTTCAAGATTTTCCTCCATCTCTTTTGGCTAATTGTCATTTAACCTCAATCACTTACTGTAACTGCACTTTACAGAAACAAAACAAAACAAAATCAGACTCCAGATGTCAGAATTTATCATTACACTGAAGGGCAAAGTGTTAAATTTCTCTTGGAAATCATCTCTTATGCAAGCTTCAGAATGTCTCAGTCAAAGGAAATATAAAAATAAGGGTCTTCTTAAATTTAAAATCAGAAGGGTCTTCTGCTCCTAATAAACTATTTTTCGATTTCTTCTCTTTTTGTTACAGATAAAGATGAGTGTTCAAAGGATAACGGTGGATGCCAGCATGAGTGTATCAACACTGTTGGCAGCTATGTGTGCCAGTGCCGCAACGGCTTTATTCTGCATGAGAACAAACACGACTGCAAGGAAGGTATGTCGGCAAAAAGAATAATAGTGGCTAGAAGAGGATAAGTGAGGGTAGTCACTGGGGTGGTGGCGCATCTGGCGTGTGTAAGCATGTTGATTTATACTACATTCTGCTGAGGACGAGCAAAAACCCACAAACAACTAAAAAAACCTGCAACTTTCTTCTAGGCATTTAAAATGCAGGGTCATTTAATGTCATTTTTGTGCTGGTCTTCTGCCAGGTTTTTCTATTTTTGTTTCTATTTTGACTCAAATCTCAGTTACAATTAAGATTTGACGATCTGAAGTTTTTCCAATTTTCCAAGGAGGACTCTGATAACCATTTTTAATCTGACCTTAACATTTCAACGTTGATTGCTTAGTGAACCTGTCACAATATAATGCAGGCTTTGAAGAAATTTTGTTATGAAGAATGGGGCAGTTGTTTAAATAAAACTACACTGGAGCCGATAACTAACCTACAGCGCACAACAAAGAATAGTTGAGTTCTTAAATGCACAGAAGCAAAAAACAAACCTGTTTATAGAGTCAGAGTGAGGTCAGATATAATTATTACAGACAACATTTTTAAAAACATTTAACCTAAAATTTGTATGATAAAACAGTGTCTCTGTGTGATTGATACTTGTAGCTGCATTAGAAATACAATGAATGAGGTGACTGAACTTAAAGCGTTAAAGTAAACTGTAAAATAGTTGTCCTCCAGATCTCCGCTTGTTGAAGTGTTTAGATGGCCTGTTACAGTCAAACAGTGTCTCCCACTAAACCTCTCCTTTCATACAAGCACTCCAGTGCAGCTCTGCCCTGCAGGCCTTTTAACATTTTTGTGGGCTTTGGAAAGTTTAAAGCAGTGTGTGTCTTTCTCTTTGAAAAGAAAAACAGCTAGACCTGAGAAGAGGAGGATAGAGATATTACCCTTTAAGCTCCAGAGTCAGGGTCAAGAAGTTAAACCAGCAGCATCCTGGAATGCACACACACACGCGCGCACACACACACACACTCACACACACACACTCACTCACTCAGTCTTGACTGTCTCTTCAAGGCTAGCTCGCGGACTTTGATTTTAAACATCTGGAGTTTCACAAAGCTTCATATTCTTAATCCTGCTTCTGTTTTCATTTTCCTTTGTGCATGTACATGTGTGAGAGCGTAAGATGTGTAAAAGTCTCTTAAATGTCTCTCAGTAGCAGCACTAGACTTAAAGCTTTACAGCTTTACTAGTTGCTTATACAAGTATTACTAGTGTATTTACACAAGAATGTCAGTTTAACAAAGTCAAGAGCTGTCTGAGATATTGTGCCTTTAATGGTGGTACTAATATGGTATTAATGGTGATATAAACACACAAATAACTCCTTTCAAATCACCTTATCTATTCAAATTCAAACACACAAACCAACAGCATTAAAAGCAGCCACATCAGTGTTTGAGAAGCATGTGTACATGTGTCTGTATGTGTGAGTGTGAACACCAGAGGCAGAACACTGAAAATACCTTTGTTCATTAATGCACACTGACCTGATTTTGAGAGGGAAGAATAGAGGCTTAACAAGACTTAGTGCTCATGTGTGTGTGTGTGTGTGTGTGTGTGTGTGTAGTGTGATAGTGATAATACTGTACATGATACAGTGGGGTCCAGAACTCTGATACCACATTGAAAATCTGTTTATATATATATAAACAGATTTGTACTTGACACAATTCTTTAGCAGCACTGATGGACCCTTTTTATATTTTCAGGGTTCTCAGAAGTGGAAGTCGTCATAGTTGGGTAAACTTCTAGAACACAAACAAACCAGAACTCTGATATCACTCTGATACCACATTGAAAATCTGTTTATATATATATAAACAGATTTTCAATGTGGTATCAGAGTGATATCAGAGTTCTGGTTTGTTTGTGTTCTAGAAGTTTACCCAACTATGACGACTTCCACTTCTGAGAACCCTGAAAATATAAAAAGGGTCCATCAGTGCTGCTAAAGAATTGTGTCAAGTACTGAATGAGAAACTTTCAGCTCAACACATTGTACTACATTTAAGTCCACGGAATTACAAAGATTTCCCCCCAAAATCAGATTGAAAAAAGTTTTGCTGGATGTACTCCTGGGCCATTGTTATCTAAACGGTATCACTCACATGTTATTATTGTGCTGCATCATTGTTTCTAATGATCTTTACCCTCTTCACCCCTTACTTGTTTATCAGCCGAGTGTGAGCACAAGATCCACAGCACGAGCGGAACCATCAGCAGTCCGAACTGGCCTGACAAATACCCCAGCAGGAAGGAGTGCGCGTGGGAGATCAGCGCCACCCCGGGCCACCGGGTCAAGATTGTGAGTCTTTATATAATTCTCTGCTATATGTTTGCATGTGTTAAACAACCTTTGCATTAACACATACATCTCACAAAACAAGCACACAAGACCTCTACGGTCACAGACCCGAGCAGAGACACAAACACACATGTAATCCTATTGTGTTCCTCTCACGTTCAAAGGCAAATAATCTTGCATCACACATAAACATCATGAACACACGTATAATCTCCTCTCAAACAAACAAACACGTGCAAACATATGCATCAAAACCTCCCTCCCCATAGACATATACAGTACATGTTCTCACAAACACGCACAAGATACAAGTAAGCCAGGACATCTAATAAATCACATTAATAAGGCTTGAGCAGTTGTGTCCTTCAGCTAATTTTTCAATTCACAGTTAGGATTTTAACATATTAACAAACATGTTAGCAGCCAGCTTTGGCAGGGTTTAGAGGGTGACCTCAGTATCTCCCACTGTGCTCTGGATCGGACTTCTGAGTCGTCGTCTTAGATCTAGAATGATTCTAAATGGCCCTCATCTCTCAGAAAGCAAGTCACAAAAAGGTTTGTTTGTTTGGATGAGGTAGTTTTGGGGATTGATTGTTTTAGGGTCCATTAGAATTAATATATAATTTTGGCATTAACGTTTGAAGTTCTCATTATACATTTGTAGAGTAACTTTATCACCACGCTCATGCTTTTATTGCTTTCTCTCTGTGTAGCCGCAACAGCTGGCTTTTTATCCAATACGGATAATGTTGTAAGCACTAAAGGCACAACTTTAAAACATGTAATTCAAACTCATGCAGTGGTTCAGGGATTTGCGGATGCTCCAACACAACCCAGTTTAAAGTTTTGTCAAGGCAAGCCAGTTCACTCAGTGGCCATCTTGGCAACGCGTTTTTTCTGTTTAGCCACACAAGGAACCTATTCCCACAGAAAGCTCTACAGATGTTTGCAGATTTCATTCACACATCCTGACCCTTGCATGTTTGTTTATTAAATATTTTGCTGAATTTGATCAGTGCATTTGATAAAGTCTCTTATACTCATGATTTAAAATACAAAACAGAAACAGCTGTGCCGCTTAATATTTTTGTGGAAACAGTTTGTCCGTTGAGATTTTAATTCCTGCAGCCATCACATTGAAAATACAGTATAGCAGATATGCTCCTTAAATATGTCAGATGTGTCCAGCTTTTAGCTGAGGAGGTCAAAGAAGAGAGACCTTTTCTTACTGTTGAATTGATGTGTTAGTGACTGCTGCAAAATTATTTTCTCTTACTAATTTTTCTTCTGTTGTGTCTTTCTGTATCTAGTCTTTTAATGAGTTTGAGATTGAGCAGCACCAGGAATGTGCATATGATCACCTGGAGGCCTTTGACGGTGACTCGGACAAGATGCCCATCCTGAGCCGCCTGTGTGGCAGTACGCTTCCAGAACCACTCATTTCCACGGGCAACAGGATGTACCTGCGCTTCATCTCCGATGCCTCAGTGCAGCGGAAAGGCTTTCAGGCCACTCATTCCACTGGTAACTACCCTGTCTTTTTCTGCATCTTATGAGTTTTGCTTATTTGCATGTATAGTTAGCACTTGGGTCAAATGTGATTCAAGTGCTCATAGAAGCAGTCCTTATTATGTCATGCTCACAGTTTAACAGAGCCCTCTAATGTATCATTACTGCATTACATATTGACTGGAGCCCCTGAAGTGTTACTTTTTCACATTTGACTTGTTGCTAAGCTCCACCCACCTTGCTTACTGTTGCTTATTACAGTCAACTGAAAAAAGAAAATAAAACTTTTTCTAATGGGGTAAAGGTGTCATCAGATGTGAGTAAATCAGTGTATATGTGTGTGTGTTTGTGTGTAGAATGTGGCGGTAGGCTGAAAGCAGAAGCACGGCAGAAGAATCTGTATTCTCATGCTCAGTTTGGGGATAATAACTATCCAAGCCACGTCGACTGCGAGTGGCTCATAACGGCAGAGTCGGGTTACAGCATTGAGCTCACCTTCACCACCTTTGAGGTAGAGGAGGAGGCCGACTGCGGGTACGACTACATCGAACTTTACGATGGCTACGACACCGGAGCGCACAAACTCGGACGCTTTTGTGGATCTGGGGTACGAGCAGTGTGTGTTACTAATGAGTCGAGGATTTTCTTATATCTTACGACTGACCTCTTTCTCTCTCTGTTTAGCCTCGTGAGGAGCTTTACTCTGCTGGTGATGCCATGTTGATCAATTTCCACTCTGATGACACAATCAGTAAGAAAGGCTTCCATATCCGCTACACTAGCACGAAGTTTCAGGAGGCGCTACACACACGCAAGTAACATCTCCCTGAGAGAGACTGAGCACAGGGATGACTCCTGCCGTGGTGTGTTTCCTGCATTGGATTTGCCTCTCTATGTTCAGCCACTAAGGAAGTGCTGCCATTTTGAACCTAAACACCAATCAGCTGCTCTTATGTGTGGGATAGCTCCGCACACTGGAGTGGTGTCCTGCGCTCTCTGACTGGACCGGTGAAGTAAATCAATCCCTGGAAAAAACACACTCAGACATAACAACTTTTTGTTGGCTCTCCGTTATTCAGATAAGCCAGTTATATATTGAGTTGCACACTGAAATTAAGAGACAATGACAATAAGACAAGAAGGAACTGCTATTGAACTTGTGTGTGTGTGTGTGTGTGTGTGTGGCTGTGTGCATGTCGTTCTGGACACCATGAGCAGTTTTGCTGCTGATGGTGCACCACACAGTACCTCAACTAAAATGTGTGTGTGTGTGTGTGCGTGTGTGCATGTGTGTGTTTGAGAGAGAGAGGCCTTCAAATACCAGCCTGAACTCATTCAAATGTTTTTAAAATGATGTGGTTGTAATTTTACAGTTATTCTGTTAGCTTTATGTCAAAACTAATTTTTCCCGTTCCATTGAAAGTGCAAAAGTAAATATGTAGCCCTATTTAACAATAAGCTTCCTTACATATATGTAGCCCATTGTTTATGTTTGCAGTGATGAACATAACAATTCTATGCCAAGCTGTTTTAAGGCAGTGGGTCTTATTCACAAAGCATGCGTACACATGAATTAGTGTGTGAAATCTGCGTACAAATTATGATTCCCAAAAACTTTCATACTAAAACGTATTTTAAATTTACGGAAAAAGTAGGAACAAGTAAAACCACACTTAGGTAAATCACATGCTCGGGGTGGCCTTATAATCGTGTTAGGATGAATAGATGTTTCATCTTAAATATATTTCATCATATATAGTGAAAAGCAGCATTATAGCTCAAGCTGCGATGTTTCTCTGTATAACAGTGCAAATATGTGTATGTACAGCATCTTTAGAGAGAGTTATATGTTTGAGAGCGACAAAAGACTGTGAAGGAAAGGCTGTGTGGAACACCCTAATGTGGAGATTGATTTGGCATATTTTATGCAAATAACACATTCATTTAATAATAGTCGGTTAAGAACAAATTAATGTGTTTACACGAAACTTTTCCCCTGGATGTACAAATACAAAATAATCCCAGCAATTTCGAGTGAATGAGACCCAGTGTCTTGTGCTTCATTCATGAGCAGGCCTACAAGGAATCTGCATTGCAGCTTTCACGCCTTTTGTGTTCACACTTTGCATAATTCCAACTATCACTGAGATAATCAGAATTTAATTCAATTCTGCAGATCTCTATACATTTTTTCTTATAATGTGACAAAAGTCTGCAGATTCCAACTGGACCTTCTGATGAGTTGCACAAACCATGTGAAGTTGTTTGAGTTTGAATTATATTTGCGTGTGAGTGAGAAAACTGATAGAATATTCTCTAATTTGTCTGTAGAAGAAAACTGTCTTACTCTTCCAGTAACGCCTCCTGAAGAAGTGAACAATGAACATGATGTGAACAGGAAATTATGTCATAAAGCCTTGCATAAGATGTCTGTTACAGCTGTGACAACTGACTACAACCACCTTAACCCTGTGCGCTTTATATGCACTTAACACAGAAAGACTGTATGGAACTGTGTGCTCTGCAATCATGGAAATGAAGCCGTGAGCAGTACCAATGAAGCTGAAAAAAAAAACTCTCAGAGCAAGGGAATGTTCTCTGTTGCTATTTTCCCAATGACAAGCTTTCCCTGCTTGGAAACAAAGCAGAGTCGCTGTTGAAGGGAATTCCTACGGTGCTATTCAGTGTCTCCCAAAAAAACGACAGGTCCCACAAGGCAATGCTCCAGCCATTCAGTGAATGCGTTGGTGCAGTGGAGAGGCAACGTTGAAATAACGTTGCTCATCAACACAGATAGAACATTGACAAAATACTTACAGCATTGACAGCACTAGTGTTGTGGAGGAACAATTATTGCCTTAGAACCAATCTATCTATCTATCTATCTATCTATCTATCTATCTATCTATCTATCTATCATTAATCCGAAAGCCAGTGGAAAATCCAGGTTTTACATTGTGGGGATCCAATGACTTCATGAACAATTAGTAACAACACATTGCTGATAAAATTGTCATTTTATTTTTAGAATTTAAAAAGTAGTTTTACCCGGTAACTTACAACAGATTTTATGAAGTCTGAATTAGTAAATTAAAATGTCTGCTGATAGTAATATAAGAAAACTAGCACCAGATGGCAGCACGCTCTTTAACATCAACACGAGGCCAAAACGGACTCTGGAACAGATGGAGTTGGCAAACGCTGTCTATTGAGTATTTGTGTCTTGAAAATCAGGTGAGCGTGGTCTTGGGTGGAAATGAATTCTGAGCATATAGAGCTCAGGTCAAGTGTAAATCAATCTTTCTAGCTTTTTCAGTGTGTGTTTGTATAGCTATTTTATTTGATTTTTTAAACTGTTTTGATTGGATTGCGTTTGTTGTCGTGAGGATTCTTAATTTCTCTCTCACCCTCATTTTTTTCTGGGTAATTGCTCAGGGATAACATTGTGATTTTAATTGGATTTTTCCTCAGCTCTAATAAGGTGTCTTTTGATAGCCAGATTAGAGCCAATAGACCATTTTAGAAAAGACTCACATTTGTTGTTTTTAATAATGCAGAGCCACTGTACACTCTAAAAAATGCTGGGTTGTTTCAACCCAACTTTGGGTCAAATATGGACTAACCCAACTTTTGGGTTAAAAATGTAATTGAAATATTTAACCCAACAGTTGGGTGAGTCCAAATTTGACCCAAAGTTGGGTTGAAACAACCCAGCATTTTTTAGAGTGTAGACAATATTAATGATTGATCAATACATTTTTTTTTCAATAACCAGTTCCTTTGACCCCAAAAAATATTTTGTTATAAAATATTTTAGGCATCATTTTGAAGGGTTTTGTGATGCATGGCTTACTGTCTCACTTATTAGGGCTGCTTTAAAAATAAATTGATCTATATGATCAGTTTTATAATGTAGACATTTTTAATTACACGTTATATAATAAAAAGGGTAATAAAAAAAATTAATAATAGGCCTAGTTGTTTCTTATTGGCCTGATTAGCCAAGCCTGCCATAAAATACACAAAACAAGATTTTAAGTAGGCTAATTAATACTCCAAATAACTCTCATAAAAGAACACATATAAAACACCTCATACATTGGCTTTTGATGATTGTAAAATGTGTTTTGTGCATGTTTTGAGTGAGTTTTCATTGCAGTTACACCATTTTGACCAGCAGGCGTGCAGTGTCCAGCGCGTTCAGTTGATTCGGATTTTAAAATGTTCTGTCTTATTCAGTCACAGCTGTTTCTATCACTCCGTTTTGGCACTATTGTGTTTTTCAGTGACCTTCTGCAGGTTATATTTGCCCTGTCCCAAATGGCACCCTAAACCCTTACGGTCTTCCTCTGAGTCCGCACTTTCGTGATGTTATGACGCTTTGACTGCTGGGTAGAAGTAGGCTGCGTAGCTCGCAGGCTCAGCAGAAGTGCGCATCGAGGGCGCATAGAGGAAAACATTCCAGGATTTTTCTCCATATAATGGACTTCAATGGGGACCAGTGGGCTGAAAGTCCAAATTGCAGTTTCAGTGCTGCTTCAAAGGGCTCTACACGATCCCAGCCGAGGAATAAAGGTCATTGCACACTGAGAACAAAATTTTCGCATCCGTAGCAAGCATTTAGAGAGATGTCTGGACAGTTCAGAGCCACCGTACAAGCGAAGACCAAAATCCAGAATGGCGATTGTCAAATTCATCCACTTCGTCTCGCAGCACAAAGCACTGTGTATAGATCCTTGCACAATGAGTTCACAGAAATTGGTGGTCTTGTTTTTTATATGTGGCTCTAGTATCGCTAGCAAAAGCATCAAACTGAGCCACTGACATCCTGAAGTAAACTTTGAATCGCCTGGGATAATCCCGCTGCTCCTGAGGGAGAACTCTCCGTCCTCTCTATATCGCAGGATTGGATGGGCCCAATATTTCCTTTCTTTTTCTTTTTTTAAGAAGCGAGAGGACAACAAAATCATCCTCACTGCTTGAAGAATCCATTTAGTGCTGTTTTGCACATTTTTGAATTAAACGGATTAATTAATACGCATCGGACTCAGTGTGCAAGGTGTCTGTGCTTGACGAATTTTTAGGATTTCAAATACGAAAATACACATATAAAAATTTCGGACTCAGTGTGCAGAGACCTTAAGGGTCTTATCTAATGAACTGATAAAAAAAAAAAATATATATTTTTTTTTTAACCACAAATGCTCGTCTTGCACTAACTCTGCGATGCGAGTCCGCAAATTCACGCATTACATAATCACGTTGGAAAGGTCACGCACGGTTAGCTCTTCATCTGTGTACTCCGGTTCAGAAAGGTAGAGTGGAAAAACTCCATTTCATTTTCTCCTCCAACTTCAAAATCGTCCGACATCGTTGTTTTACCTTTTTTTGTAAAGGCCATTTGGGTTTCTTTGCACGTTTGCTTTGTAAACACTGGGTCGGTACTTCCGCCTACGTCACGTGTGACCTTTCCAACATGACGACGTAATGCGTGAAGTCCAGCTAGTGCAAGATGAGCATTTGTGGTTAAAAACTATATAAATGTTGTTGTTTTTTTGAAAATGACCAATGGTTTCACTTGATAAGACCCTTATTCCTCGGCTGGGATCGTGTAGAGCTCTTAGAAGCTGCACTGAAACTGCAATTTGGACCTTCAGCCCGTTGGTCCCCATTGAAGTCCATTATATGGAGAAAAATCCTGGAATGTTTTCCTCAAAAACCTTCATTTCTTTGCGACCGAAGAAAGAAAGACATGAACATCTTGGATGACATGGGGGTGAGTAAATTATCAGGAAATTTTTATTCTGGAAGTGTACTAATCTTTAATGCACTTAACGGACACGTGTACGCAGCGGCCATTGTAAGTCCTCAAGACCGAAAGTGCACATGAAGTGTGCCATTTGGGACAGGGCCATTGCTACGCCTGTAGACGGTGTCAAGTGACGTTGAATCACTGAGAAGTCATTGAATCATTGACTTAACCGATTCATTTAAAACACTGACTCCTTCAGAAACCAATCGCCGCTGCTGTGTGTTCCTTGGAGACATAGGCTACGTTTACACTAGTGTGCTTTCGTTTTAAAACGCATAACTTTTGCTACGGTTACGCCTATCGTTTACACTA